TTATGGCTCAGACCTCGTACGCACATTATCGTACTTCTTCAACATGATCAAATGTTACCATTTCTGATTTATGATGAGCCGCATTACAAAAACAAGATATTAATCGAGCATATGTTGTGTATTATCTGTCTACAGTACCTGTAATACAGACTTTTGTTAAATCATGATAGACATTGCAGAACATAGGGTGTTTAGACAATAATATAAATGGTTTATCTCCAACACTTAACTGGCTTTCAATAAGCCTTTCATCAAAATGAGAATAAAATTCAATGTCTGCCTGGAGGTGCTGGGATGCTTCAAATGATCGAATCATTGCGAAACATAAATCTGTTTATGATAGTTGTTTCAATACAAATACTTCAAGCTATATTCTGGTTGTATATATTGCTTTCAAGGAACAAGTTAACAGTATCTAAACAAAACATCTGAATATCAAAGCGAGGAAGCATCTTTGGGATAAAATCTTACTAATAGATGTGTCGAAACGAGTTTTCTTCATTTATCTGGCTTCATCAATAAGCATATTAAGTTTCATTAGATATATTAAAACTAGGCACTCAATAGTAACGAACCTTACCGAACAATAAGCAGAAATTGCTGCAGAATCCTCATGTTCTATCCAATGGTAATTTTATTACATTTAATAGAGTATAACATAAACTGACTTGACACTTTAGAGGGCGTACTGTTTGGATTCATTCTTTACAATTAATGGCCGGGGTGCCTAAATTAATGGATGGTTTTTAAAAACAGATTCAGCGCTCTCTTAGTAAAACTAAATTACATCCGAAATAGCCTGTAGATCAATACAAAAGACAAAAAAGGTGAACGGACGGGCGGACGGATGGGTGTGGGTAGGTGGGTGGGTTTTGCGGCGCAGACAAATTATGTATTTCTAGAACTCCGAAATTTGTCAAGTGGTGGAACAACGAACAGACAGTATGATTGCACAATTCTGTGTCTATCTCTGTGATCTGCTAGAATATATATATTTATGCCAAATAAGTATTTGTAAAAGAAATATTTACTGATTATGGTTGGATTTATTGATTTCGTTTAAACCTTGGTTGTTTTGTGTTTCTCCCACATAAGGTAATTAATTCTATCCTTGATATTATACCAATTGATCAAACAACATATGCTAGGAATGGATATGTGTTGATAAGCTGTACTCGACGAAGTTGTTTAATTATTGCTTAACGACAAAGTTACAAGAAGAACGGGATCAGCAAGACCTCCTCGAGTGGGGCCCCAGCCATTCGCTTTTCCCTTGATGCGTTTTGTGGCGGAGGTTAGACCGAGCGTCGACCTGAAGTCGGCAACCAGATAAAGGAACGACCATTAGGAAGTAGTCAATGAGAGTTGTCACGATAGATGCTGTATTGTAATGGTTTCTTTTTGCTGTTCACTCTTGTGGTTGATGTGATGGCATTCAACACGAAAAGGTTAATTGTTTCGAGCAATCCATTAAAAATAAATAGTACTTTGGGTACTGGGCTCACATGGTGTTGCTCAAAAGTGAATGATGGCTAAAATGGCAGGAAAACCGGATATAATTTTTGCCCATTTTTGCAACAAAATTATTTCATACAACTACTCTTTATACAGTGACATGGCTTTTTACAATCCAGGACACTTGAAATTATTTGTAAAGCTGGGAAATGGGCCAAGAGTGAATATCGCGAGACAAAAATGGGGACCATTTTGAAAATATGTGAATTTTTGAACCAGAAGCCATATGGGAGTTTTCTGTATTGATGTTGAACAAAAATAACTTAAAACGTGAATCCTATCGACACAGGTTTTAAAGAAAATGATCCAAAAGTGAATTTTGCGAGACAAAATGGCGGCCATTTTGAAAATAGACTGGGGGTTTTCTACATTGATGTTGAACAAAAATAACTTAAAATGGGAATCCTATTGACAGAGGTTTTAATACGGGCCAATTGTTGACAGACGGACGGACAGGGCAGACAGACGGACAAAGAGAAATTGTATTGCGTATTTACAGATGAAGGAGTTACTTCATACTGAACTGAAATTGTCCATCGTGCAAACTTTGTTTTCCACGTAACTTTATTTCTGATATTTATCATTTGGGGATCGTCTCTACAGTATTACTGTCTAGTATATACAGCTATTTCTCATGGTATTTACATTTGCTTATAATTCTCTAAACATTTCTAACATACATGTATATTATGATGAATCCAGTTTGACTCAAATGTCCCTCGGTCTTATTGTGGATTTTGATTATATTTGATTATCAGAGCCATTATATCAAATGCTTTTAAGAGAGAGACTCGCAGTATTTGTATTCTGAGGGATAGTAAACGTTGTGGATCCCACAATTGTATTTTCTGAATGTTTGGAGAAAGATAGGGAGGTTGGACACTGTTTCAGTATGGCCAATTTCTTTCGACGATCCTTTCTCTGACTTTTAAACTTGTATTGCGCTTACATACAGTACCAGTCACTCCAATAAGTTTCTTAGTACCGTTTTGCAGAGACATTTAAAACACGGTTTGGTTCAGTAGTTGGTTCAATTATGACGCTTTTCTTGTTATCCTGATAATATTAGTTCAAGATGACTGTATTTATACAGTATCAGAACTGCATCCAATACCATAAAGGGCAATACAATCATTAGACGATCATACTAATCATTTAGCTATTATACTTTCTTTGATTGTGAATTATAAAAGAATGCATTTACTTTGAAGTATATAATTGTCTCTAAATGCCAATTTAAGAGGCCACGATTTTCCAACTAGCAAAATAAGCAATTCCGTTTATTTGCCTTATGTAATAGAAAAATAAGAGGTCCCATGTGTTTAACTTGATTTATTTCTTCATAAAGTGTGGAAATGTATCGATTCGGGGGATATAATATGCCATATTTTTTCCGAAATCCGATCAATTCGTCTGATATTTCCGTAATTTTATCGTATCCAACTCGTTTTAACATTCAATCGCATAAGTGAATAAGGAAATAATGGTTTTCTGTTGATTCAATTGGGAAATTTCATTCAATCCGAATTCATTTTGTTCGTATGTTGAGTATCCAATAATTACAAAATTACAATAAATAAAGAATTGAGAATTCGAAATAAGTGCAGTTTGAGAACATCACCTCTTGTCGTTGTACATTCAATTGTAAGACATCTGGTGAATGCAACATTTCAAGGGATAAAATACTCAATCTTAACCTAATCTCGCAAATTACAATATTGTAAGAGCATGTAACTCCCTGACTTAAAGACTGTTTTGGGGAAACTATCCATTTGAAGACATCATCACCAAGGGTTACCGTGACATCCTCGACGAGCCATGATATATCAATACAACATGTAATATATAGGGGTTATGCACTGGGAGGTTTTGGATACAGGGAATATCCCGAGGGATATACAATATATCTTCCCGAGGGACCGAAGGGACCAAGGGAAGATGTATTGTATATCCCAAGGGATATTCTATGTATCCAAACCGACCGTACATAACTGGTGTATCTCATACTTGAGTGGGTTTAGGGTAGATATAACCTTTTCCACCTTTTTCAAATGACAAGATATTTATATTTAACATTTTCGTAATATTCTTTTTGTTCAATACAATGAAATTGTAACATTTAAACTTAAAAGAATTAGATCTTAAAATTAAAAAATTAAAACTTTTGATATTTAAACTTTTGAAAAATTCCCGGGAGCGGGATGGATATATTATATCTGCCCGCATTTGCCCTAGGGCGGGACATATACAATATATCCTGCCCGCTCCTCAGATACGATATATATTCCCGGGTGATATCTACCCCAAACCCACTCAAGTATGAGATACAGTAATATACTAGTAACGTGCAAATAAATACCAAACCACAAGCACCACTATCGCTGGTAGACCCAGAAGCTAGCAAGGGGGGGGGGGCGGCAAATTTCAAATCAGGAAAATAAATCACCTGAATCCAAACTGAATTGGGCCCATTTTCTGAAAAATTGAAGCCTATAAAATGCCCATGCCCATGTTCCAATATAGTGGCACGATCGAGTGCCATGTGCTATGTTATTCCCATATATGTGTAAGCGCATCACGATCAGATAAAAAAAACTGTAGTTGCATTTCCTTCTTTCACAAATCAGCAGAGAATCTTGCTTCGAAAGACAGAGAGATGAGTATCAGAATGATGTATAGGGCAAATCTAAGAAACCACGCGGTGAATATAAAGTGTTGTAGAATGATGTAATTATGGGTCGCCATCTGTATTATTATTAATTTGGGATACTGGGGATTTTTACCTTAAGACCGGTTGTCACGAGTCTTAAATTTCATTTTATTTGTGTTAAATTGTTGAATACTTTTGTGCTAACGTATCTAACAAGGCATTAACAATCCAAATGTCACCACCTGCCATTTGTTAGAGGTCGAACACAAAAACACAGAACGCCGAACTCAAACCGCCGAAACGTCCACAAAAAAAGTTAGAGACTATAACAATATGTCAGCACCACGTCTGGTGGTGACGTAAGAAGATTTTTATCAAAAATTTACCTGTGTTTTTTCATTATCAAGCGTACATATTCAGGTTACTGTGACATATCAAAAAAAATTGGGTTGTGCCAATGTGATTCAGTCGGCCAAATAATGCACGAAATTTACTTTCTAGACAGTAGGTCATATAATTGAATTGAATATACAACTCGAATCAACATCTCCCAGAATCTCAATAAAAACGAGACTTTAACGAGATTTCAAAGCTATATGGAAAAAGGACCATTAGTGAAGTGTAAAAATACCCGAAGAGGACATGTTGTAGATTACACAACAAAATCAAATGAGCTAAAAATAACTATCAACTGATATAGATGAGCTTTGCTCAAGAGCATTCTCACAAAAAATCATCTGATTTAAATAAGGACTGGTGAGTCTCTGGTTATGATATAAAGCATAATTAATAATTATTAAAGTGAATTTATCATCATTTTCCTTTCTGCTTTCAGATCAGGGGAATTCGATCCTATCGGGAATAAATTGATTAATGGGATATAACTCCAACATATCGCCAATGGGTTTCAAGGATCAACACCCTCAACGAACAAAGCATTAATACACAACAACTACGAGCACCAAACAAATGTATACATCTTCTGAAGAAAATAAAATAGACGCTCCAAAAGTGCAGTTACTTGATTAACTTTGACTAGGGTGCTCCAAATGAGAGTAGAGGGAATTGGAGTATTATTTACCGCCAAATCATAACATTTTCAACAATCAAGCTACACTAAATCGTTGTTTCACCTGAAGGAAAAGGTTCTAAGTAAATAGACAGTACACGATAAGAACATCCATCAAGAAAATATTGGCACGCTCAATTAGACTTAGGGCTCATCTATAACTGAGGAGACGTATGGAGAGAGGAAGCAATCAGAAAGAAAACATTAAACTTCTAGCCTGGCATTCATTCGATGTCAAAGTGGAAATCCTGATTGGTTGTAGCAATCAATAGATTGGATCATGAAATGTAATACCTGGGCTACTGATCGTGTCATTACGTACTTCACAGATCAGCAATAGATCGGCAAGGGATAAGTCAAAAGACTACCGACAGAGGAGTTGCTACATCTGAGTTAGTTAGTAAGAGATCGTAAGCCTGAATGCAATCATCGCATTATTAGCCGCATAAGGAAGATCGATTGAAACAAGGTGGCGAACCTAATTAAAGCACAGTGACAAGACTGCAGCCCGGAGTGCATCCAGAATCAAAAGTTGAGAATATCAAAATGACAAATGATCTCAAATCAAGGAAGGGAATCGAAGGCTTAATTCATGGATTTATAAAGTGTTTATAAGACGCTTAGCGTGGTGAAGTAGTAATAAGGTGACCCATCAATCATTCTACTGGATATTGTAATGTCAAATTAAGCAGCATTTTGAAATATAGCAATTTAACAGCAATTTATTTGACATATCTAATTCCCTAATTATAGGTTTGAATGCAATACTCGCTTAGCGCTAAATCCATAGAGAGATGGCCAAGACAATACTGATTGCAAATCAAAGAATTCTTAGATAACTAGAACAGAAACATTAGAACATAAAAGTGAAAGAAATTGAAGTGAAAGAAATTATAACAATTCATATTGATCGGACTGAGAATCTAATATCACCTAGATGACCTATATCGCTGATACATTAATTTGAATAATCCTGCGGGGAATATGCGATAAAACTACGAACAAACAGTTTTAGGCATTTAGGGATGCATGGGGCGTTTACATATCACTTTGAGCACATCAGAGTAATAACGCTCGGAGTGTTACATGACTGTTTAGAGTTCCTAGGGAATACGTCGACCCAAGAGGGATCGTTTTAAAACCTCCAGTAATTAGTTGCATGACAGTTGTGTTTAGAGGAGTAAATATGTTGATAAATGTCTTTAAGACTGATTCAATTATTGACAATTTCGAGTTGTCTCGATATCGGTTTTGTTAGTTGACGCAAGACAAGACACGAAGTGGCTGTCAGATGTAAATGGCTTTAATGGACTTACCATTGTATAAAACCGAACAAAATTAGGCTCGATATCATACCAGGAGAATATATCAGATTTATTATTGACAACTCTACAATTTGATTTACCGAACAATCAAGATGGCCACGGATGCATTACCAGAGGAGACTGTTAACCTAGCGGCCACGTCCCGAATGATAGGGGTTAATTACACTAATGGTACAATATTAGATGACGGCCCCGGGCCCTCGAGACTTGCTACAGCTGTGGGAGCAGTAATCATACTGATCTTTCTAGTTGAGGGCATTCTAGGCAACCTATGGATTATGTTTGTGATATTACGCAAGAAAGAAATGAGAAACGTTATTAATATATTTATTGTCAGCTTATGCGTGAATGACTTGATGAACCTTTGCGTAAACCAGATTCTGTTTTTGTCATCCTATATTGCTCTGGAATGGGTGACTGGCATGGCGGTGTGTGGTGTTGTACCAGAACTAAGCGTCGTCTTCACAGGTACTTCGCTATGGCATAGTGCGTTGATCGCCATACATAGGTACATCGTTGTTATACACAATGACGTCTATAACAGAATGCATATAAAACTTTATGTTGGATTTGTGCTTGTCATAACGAGAGTTCTACCATTTGCATTTAACATTCCAGCAATTATTACACCAATGGCTGGATACTCACCAAAACTTTTACGCTGTATACTTCTACCGCAGTACGCCACGAGAACAATGGCTATGATGGTGTGCTTGTTTATTGTTCCATGTCTAATAGTAATCTGTTGCTTCCTTGCCATATTTATATACGTCCATCGCTCAACATTACGCATTCAAAATGCAGGTTTCCGCCGTGAGATTCAAATCACTAAGATGTTTGGTTGTGTCTTCTTTACCATCCTTATTGGATATCTCCCATATGCGTTTATCCGTACTGGCGACCGGAACAACCAATTGAGCCCGGATGTTTATGTGATTGTATCGACATTGTATTCCGTGGCAACATGCCTCAGTCCGCTGATCTACGGCGCTATGAACCAGCAGATTCGACAGGCGTGTCAGGATTGCTCGACCTGTTCAAATTACGATAAAAAACGACGACATTCTGATCGCTATTTAGGAGAACAGACAGTAAGACTTACGAATGGCACCAAAGCTAGTATTGGGGATAAGTCAAGTTCAACAGACCACGCCGATCAACTTAAGGTCAATTGCTCAGATCGTGAAATGACATCGTCATATGCTGACGAGAATTGCCTGGTACATTCAAACAAATCAAATGGAAAGGGTCCAACCTTCGTGTAGACATGAGCAAGCTATTAACTTTAAATTTATTAACAACAATTGAGGGCCCATTACCGGAAACTTCAACAAACAGACAAAGTTAAGAATACCAACTTACATTTTTCTGTTACTATGACAACATTATATCCATGGTAACAACTAATTGAGGATTTCTTAACTTAATGGAGTTTATATTTATGACCCTTTGCATTGATAAAATCTGATAAAATCTGAAAATGCATGATCTGTGCTATACAACACATTGTCACTTATCCGAGACAACTTGCGCTCTCATTCCAGAAACATTAGGTTTGACCGACAATGTGGTATCGTTGAACAAATAGCATCTAATCAGATAGCATCTTATACATTTAAATTACGAAATAATTAGAACGTTCAGATGACGATATCTTGCAGAAATACATATGGCCGGCGGGGCCTTGTGCCAAATGAGATAAATTATATTTTACCAATTGTTTATAATTAATTGTTTTCGTGTCTAATACGATTGTGTTGCTTTGTTCAGTATAATCAAATTACAATTGGAAGCGATGTTGCAAAAATATGAATAGTTTACTATAAATACTGACTACTTCAACCGAAATGATTCAACAAATGTTTTCCATGTGCTAACGAGCTTTTTGAAAGAGTTCGTATATTTGTTTTTTGGATGTGTCGTGGTAATTATGAGCTTTGGTTAACATGATTAACGTCTAAGTGATGTATAAAAGAACGCAATTTACAGCTTATGTCAACACAGAGATGATATATACAATATGTATTATATGTTCATAAAATGGAAATATGTACAATAAACTATATACGCTTAAATTAATCATTGTGCGTTAATGTTTACCTCATTTTTCATTTCTTCATTTATGTATTAATATGAATGATTAATAAAGTTCCAGGTTTGTCAACTACAATCATCAAAGCATTCATGACTAGTCTACCATTGATCAAAATGGACAATAGCAAAACCAGCATTAAAACTACAAATGGATCGTAAATTATCAACCAAGGACGCCCACCAACGCATGGTTGGTGTATATCATTAATTTATATCAGTTGAATCTAAGCCAATCTGAATAAGGGCAGTTAGTTTTAAAAAATAACATCAAATATCCCTAATGAAATACCGTATTCTACCATTCTATAAATAGATTTCGATTTCTTATTTACTACATCATATTATTTTATTTCTCAAAAATTACGTCCAAGCAGTTTGAATGTTGTGTATTTGTTTACTTCGGTTTGTACTTTTTTGTTTCTCAAATGTTGCCCATTATGCCATCCCACACTAAATGTGAAATCTCAGAAAAGCCAGAAAAGCAATGAGTTCGACAGTGAGAGTACACCTGTTGGATATAGCTTAAAGATACACAATTGCTGCCATCTTTAAATGATATTGATCATCCCTCGTATCTGATCTGTCAGCTGGGAATCGAACGTGGTTCTTTAAAAGTGCATCTAAAGCAACTTGCAAATAACTCATATTGAAGCATAACCTTAATCCCCCCCCTTATATTGTCCATCTGCTAGTCACCGTTAAGTGTCCAGACTTCCTTTAACAATCACAAATATAGATCATATTATTAGTCCCAAAGTATAAACGGCTGTGTCTATATCACAAATCGGAAATCCCACTTGGAAACAATAAAACCAATTGTCTATTATTTCAGATAAATAAAGGTTTAGTTGTCTAAATATAGCACAGCATGAGAAATTATGGCTTTCTTATTTAAGTCTTTTATAGACTACTTTCTAGATTTGTGAGGCCGTCATCCATCGGATATAAAGAAACATCCATGAAACGTTTTGACAGTAAACGCGCGCGTAGATATACATGATGTTTAAGATGAGATTTTTGGACAAAATACACTTTCTTGGAATACCAATCATGCCCCTTAAAGTTCAGTTCAAGATTTGTATACACATCTCTCGATATTGGAAATAAATAGCGCCGATGATTCGTCTACAAACGCTTTCTTGAGATTTTGGGACTCTTGTTTGAACCTGCGCGCAGAGCCTAGTTATAAACAACGAAGACGAAGCTCTCTTTTAAGAAGTGAAGTCCAACGAATGTAAAGGGTAAGTCTAGTTATAAAGACGAAGCTCTCTTTTCAGAAGCGAAGTTGAATGAATGCAAAGGGTAAGTCTAGTTATGAAGACGAAGCTCTCTTTTGAGAAGCGAAGTCGAATGAATGGAAAGAGTACTTGTCTGCCGACCTTCCGGAAAGCTGATCAGAATGCAGCGACTGAGGGACGGGGTGCGACAAGAAAGATGCGAAAAAAGAAGAGAATGCGAATGCTCCTAAGTTAACAAACCCCCGATATCTGAACCACTTCTGTCGAACGTACTCTTCCCCTACGATCATAAAATAATACCTGTATTGTTCATACATTTTCCAGGAAGTAGCCCATTGTGTTGATTGTACAGGGTGTGAAATAAATATGTTCCATTGTCGTTAACATCCACATACAGTAATGCTGCATACCTTTTTTGTCTGCATGATATCTGAATTGTTCTTTACCACATTAAAAGTAGACTCCATGGAGCAACTCCACAATTTCAGATGGCTAGCTCAACTAGATGCACTTAATTATGCACAAAAGTTTATACTTTTGAAATTAAGGGGGAGAATTAACATATTTATTTGACATTCTTTATATCGTTATTCTTGGAATTGTTTTTCTAGTATTATCTCCTGTTCTATCTGCCAGTCTATCTCAAAAACAAGCAGATTTACATTTGGAGAAACTCATTCCATTAGTTTTATTGAAATATGATAATTGAAAGAGTTATGAATTATTCAAACATGCCACAGCAGGATGATTCAGCGCAATTAGCGACAGTATTGTCATGTAATAATGCCACAGTAATCCATCTATTGTGTAATGTAAAGGAATAAACGTCTGGTAATTATGATTTTCCTATCAAAGGTTGGACAGCGTCAAACCATTACTACAAAACACAATGCATTTTTATCAGCGTTTGATAGCATCTTCCGTAAAAACGATGTTATTAAAATAACTCATAAAAGAGATAATAGTTTACATTTGTAAATGTAAAAACAGGAAATATAGATATTATTATCAAGAACTCGACAATGTTATTCTGCAATTGAAATATATCAGATCAATTCTAAAGAAAAACAAGTTTTATCAATATTTATTATATTCCTCATAAATATAATTAAAACTGACACACGGATTATTGGTCAGACAATACGAAAGAAAATATCTATTAAATTCCTCTACTGATAAAAATGTGACATCGTGAGAATTGTGGAATATCGATAGTTGATATCATCTTCTAAGTCTCCAATGAGTTTCAAAATCCAGAGATATGCACAGTAAAAAGAAAAGTATCAGTCTTGACACTAGAGATTTCGTTCATAAGTGAAAATGTAACTTATGTTTATGCGTTCAGCTGATACGTTATAAGTATAAGTAAATTAAACTTTGGCGTTTCGCAACAAAGACGTACTTATATTTTGTCGGTCAATCATAATATCCTTTTCACCAAAAATTAATAACTTTCTTTGCTAATTTCCTCGCTTATAAATAAGGATTTCCGACTAATGCCTATGTCTAAACAATATAAGGATTCACTCATGTATCAGTGGGGAATCAAGAAATTAACAAGGTGGGCCAAATTTTGAGTCTGTAAAACATTTCCCGCCCTATCGCGGAAAAGAATTTTAAGCACCTTAAACCAAAAATTGGGCCCAAATTTTGAAAAATTAGTACTAAGGCCCATTCTTTTGATAAGTTGGCCAAAATAGGCCAAAAATATGCAAAAAAGGCCTATTTTTGAGGCCTTACAAATATTTTAGGGCCCAAAAAATAAAAAATAAAAACTGGGCCCACCAAAGGGGGGCGGTCGTGCCCCATATAAGGGATCGAACTGTACGACAAATAATGAGCTATATCTACGTATAAACAAGCTTATACATGTTATACGTGAGTTACAAAATCTCTCAATTATGTCCAAGTTTGCTGTCATGATGTGTCTATGACACAAATTAATATATTTCATTCAAGTATACAGTCAAGTGTACAGTCAAGTATAATCCGCTATATACGGATGAATCTGTTTGTTTGGACAAGTCAACATGAACCAGACACATTTAATCATGACACCGTATGAATGAGTTTCATAATTAATTTGATTTTTGCATGTCCTTGGTAGGGGCATTTGGGGTTACTGACAGTTCATCGTGTTTCTTTGACTAATACGATAAATTTATTCAATGCAATCAAGATGTGATATAACAAAACATAGAACAGAGGCAGCAAATTTCATTGTATTAATCTGAATATCCTAGATGCGAGTAGAAATAATCTTGATTTACGTCATTAAAAAAATATTTGGAATCTACATGTAAAATTAGATCTAGAAATGTGGTTTTGCAAAGAGTTTATCAACTATGAAAATTTATTTTTCTTTGAAAATGTGACTTCTAGGTCGGGGAGATTCCCCATAGACCCCATGTAGTAAAACTACAAAAAGTTAAATATCTTTTCTTGTGTTGGGCAGATAATATTTTCTCTTACTGGACATATTTTAATTTCTATAACTATCACATACATAACCGTCATATGAAAAGTGAACAACTAAAATGATGAATATTCAAGTTTAAAGGAATTTTGTAATACTCTGCCATGTTATTTCCCCCGAATCAGGCACCTGGTGGCGAAACTGGTTACTACCTACTCGCATCTGAGTAATTCACCTCGTTGAAAGTGGTTACACAAATCCAAAAGGCAAATGTTAAAAATGTAAATACACAAGTTTTAAACAAACCAATAACAAACGAATGAACAAACAAAAGACAAGTTAAAACATTCAAACAACAAGAAGATAAACAATCTACAGAAAAACAGAATTCAACAGAATTCAGAAATCAACTCTTACAACATGTCTGGTGTCAAAATCAGTAAAAAAAACACTTCTGGTTGTGAGAAGTGATAAGCGTGTTTACTGAAATGGTCTCCTCCGGGAAATGAGGGCAGATGTAGGGACGGACAGACGGATTATTGTACAGGGGTAAATGGGTTATTCTCAAAATAATTCTAATGTCTATATGTTGCTATTCATTTTTAAAAAAAAAGAAAAAACAAATGGCAAAATAACAGAAAAATTCAATCTAGATCATAAAATATAACAAAAGAAATAATACCCATTCACTCGAACGAATGAACGGACGGAAAAACAAACGGACGATTGAGTGATGGCTTCTGTATATCCCTATGAACTACGTTGCTGGAATAATTACCTTCAGGTAAGCGTAGTATGGAAGAAGTTGAGAATTCTCTGCCAAGAGTCCTCTTGTGCGACACTGTGCTCATGCACGCTGCCTCCCCACACACATGGACTATCTGAAACACAAAGGGTTATCATATTGCTACACTATGCTCATGCACGCTGCCTCCCCACACACATGGACTATCTGAAACACAAAGGGTTATCATATTGCTACACTATGCTCATGCACGCTGCCTCCCCACACACATGTACTATCTGAAACACAAAGGGTTATTATATTGCTACACTATGCTCATGCACGCTGCCTCCCCACACACATGGACTATCTGAAACACAAAGGGTTATCATATTGCTACACTATGCTCATGTACGCTGCCTCCCCACACACATCGTCTATCTGAAACACAAAGGGTTATTATATTGCTACACTATGCTCATGCACGCTGCCTCCCCACACACATGGACTATCTGAAACACAAAGGGTTATCATATTGCTACACTATGCTCATGCATGCTGCCTCCCCACACACATGGACTATCTGAAACACAAAGGGTTATTATATTGCTACACTATGCTCATGCACGCTGCCTCCCCACACACATGGACTATCTGAAACACAAAGGGTTATCATATTGCGACACTATGCTCATGCACGCTGCCTCCCCACACACATGGACTATCTGAAACACAAAGGGTTATCATATTGCTACACTATGCTCATGCACGCTGCCTCCCAACACACATGGACTATCTGAAACAAAGGGTAATCATATTGCTACACTATGCTCATGCACGCTGCCTCCCCACACACATGGACTATCTGAAACACAAAGGGTTATCATATTGCTACACTATGCTCATGCACGCTGCCTCCCCACACACATGGACTATCTGAAACACAAAGGGTTATCATATTGCTACACTATGCTCATGCACGCTGCCTCCCCACACACATGGACTATCTGAAACACAAAGGGTTATCATATTGCTACACTATGCTCATGCACGCTGCCTCCCCACACACATGGACTATCTGAAACACAAAGGGTAATCATATTGCTACAGAATGCTCATGCACGCTGCCTCCCCACACACATGGACTATCTGAAACACAAAGGGTTATCATATTGCTACACTATGCTCATGCACGCTGCCTCCCCACCCACATGGACTATCTGAAACACAAAGGGTAATCATATTGCTACAGAATGCTCATGCACGCTGCCTCCCCACACACATGGACTATCTGAAACACAAAGGGTTATCATATTGCTACACTATGCTCATGCACGCTGCCTCCCCACACACATGGACTATCTGAAACACAAAGGGTTATCATATTGCTACACTATGCTCATGCACGCTGCCTCCCCACACACATGGACTATCTGAAACACAAAGGGTAATCATATTGCTACAGAATGCTCATGCACGCTGCCTCCCCACACACATGGACTATCTGAAACACAAAGGGTTATCATATTGCTACACTATGCTCATGTACGCTGCCTCCCCACACACATCGTCTATCTGAAATACAAAGGGTTATCATATTGCTACAGAATGCTCATGCACGCTGCCTCCCCACACACATGGACTATCTGAAACACAAAGGGTTATCATATTGCTACACTATGCTCATGCACGCTGCCTCCCCACACACATGGACTATCTGAAACAGAAAGGGTAATCATATTGCTACAGAATGCTCATGCACGCTGCCTCCCCACACACATGGACTATCTGAAACACAAAGGGTTATCATATTGCTACACTATGCTCATGCACGCTGCCTCCCCGCCCACATGGACTATCTGAAACACAAAGGGTTATCATATTGCTACACTATGCTCATGCACGCTGCCTCCCCGCCCACATGGACTATCTGAAACACAAAGGGTTATCATATTGCTACACTATGCTCATGCACGCTGCCTCCCCGCCCACATGGACTATCTGAAACACAAAGGGTTATCATATTGCTACACTATGCTCATGCACGCTGCCTCCCCACACACATGGACTATCTGAAACACAAAGGGTTATCATATTGCTACACTATGCTCATGCACGCACGCTGCCTCCCCACACACATGAACTATCTGAAACAAAGGGTTATCATATTGCTACACTATGCTCATGCACGCTGCCTCCCCACACACATGGACTATCTGAAACACAAAGGGTAATCATATTGCTACAGAATGCTCATGCACGCTGCCTCCCCACACACATGGACTATCTAAAACACAAAGGGTTATCATATTGCTACACTATGCTCATGCACGCTGCCTCCCCACACACATGGACTATCTGAAACACAAAGGGTTATCATATTGCTACACTATGCTCATGCACGCTGCCTCCCCACACACATGGACTATCTGAAACACAAAGGGTTATCATATTGCGACACTATGCTCATGCACGCTGCCTCCCCACACACATGGACTATCTGAAACACAAAGGGTAATCATATTGCTACAGAATGCTCATGCACGCTGCCTCCCCACACACATGGACTTTCTGAAATACAAAGGGTTATCATATTGCTACACTATGCTCGTGCACGCTGCCTCCCCACCCACATGGACTATCTGAAACACAAAGGGTTATCATATTGCTACAGAATGCTCATGCACGCTGCCTCCCCACACACATGGACTATCTGAAACACAAAGGGTTATCATATTGCTACACTATGCTCATGCACGCTGCCTCCCCACACACATGGACTATCTGAAACACAAAGGGTAATCATATTGCTACAGAATGCTCATGCACGCTGCCTCCCCACACACATCGTCTATCTGAAACACAAAGGGTTATTATATTGCTACACTATGCTCATGCACGCTGCCTCCCCACACACATGGACTATCTGAAACACAAAGGGTTATCATATTGCTACACTATGCTCATGCACGCTGCCTCCCCACCCACATGGACTATCTGAAACACAAAGGGTTATCATATTGCTACAGAATGCTCATGCACGCTGCCTCCCCACATACATGGACTATCTGAAACACAAAGGGTTATCATATTGCTACACTATGCTCATGCATGCTGCCTGCCAACACATATGGATTATCTGAAACACAAAGGGTTATCATATTGCGACACTATGCTCATGCACGCTGCCTCCCCACACACATGGACTATCTGAAACACAAAGGGTTACCATATTGCTACACTATGCTCATGCACGCTGCCTCCCCACACACATGGACTATCTGAAACACAAAGGGTTATCATATTGCTACAGAATGCTCATGCACGCTGCCTCCCCACACACATGGACTATCTGAAATACAAAGGGTTATCATATTGCTACAGAATGCTCATGCACGCTGCCTCCCCACACACATGGACTATCTGAAACACAAAGGGTTATCATATTGCTACAGAATGCTCATGCACGCTGCCTCCCCACACACATGGACTATCTGAAATACAAAGGGTTATCATATTGCTACAGAATGCTCATGCACGCTGCTTCCCATACACATGGACTATCTGAAACACAAAGGGTTATCATATTGCTACACTATGCTCATGCACGCTGCCTCCCAACACACATGGACTATCTGAAACAAAGGGTAATCATATTGCTACAGAATGCTCATGTACGCTGCCTCCCCACACACATCGTCTATCTGAAATACAAAGGGTTATCATATTGCTACAGAATGCTCATGTACGCTGCCTCCCCACACACATGGACTATCTGAAACACAAAGGGTTATCATATTGATACACTATGCTCATGCACGCTGCCTCCCCACACACATGGACTATCTGAAACACAAAGGGTTATCATATTGCGACACTATGCTCATGCACGCTGCCTCCCCACACACATGGACTATCTGAAACACAAAGGGTTATCATATTGCTACACTATGCTCATGCACGCTGCCTCCCCACACACATGGACTATCTGAAACACAAAGGGTAATCATATTGCTACAGAATGCTCATGCACGCTGCCTCCCCACACACATGGACTATCTGAAACACAAAGGGTTATCATATTGCTACACTATGCTCATGCACGCTGCCTCCCCACACACATGGACTATCTGAAACACAAAGGGTTATCATATTGCTACACTATGCTCATGCACGCTGCCTCCCCACACACATGGACTATCTGAAACACAAAGGGTAATCATATTGCTACAGAATGCTCATGCACGCTGCCTCCCCACACACATGGACTATCTGAAACACAAAGGGTTATCATATTGCTACACTATGCTCATGTACGCTGCCTCCCCACACACATCGTCTATCTGAAATACAAAGGGTTATCATATTGCTACAGAATGCTCATGCACGCTGCCTCCCCACACACATGGACTATCTGAAACACAAAGGGTTATCATATTGCTACACTATGCTCATGCACGCTGCCTCCCCACACACATGGACTATCTGAAACAGAAAGGGTAATCATATTGCTACAGAATGCTCATGCACGCTGCCTCCCCACACACATGGACTATCTGAAACACAAAGGGTTATCATATTGCTACACTATGCTCATGCACGCTGCCTCCCCACCCACATGGACTATCTGAAACACAAAGGGTTATCATATTGCTACACTATGCTCATGCACGCTGCCTCCCCACACACATGGACTATCTGAAACACAAAGGGTTATCATATTGCTACACTATGCTCATGCACGCACGCTGCCTCCCCACACACATGGACTATCTGAAACACAAAGGGTTATCATATTGCTACACTATGCTCATGTACGCTGCCTCCCCACACACATCGTCTATCTGAAACACAAAGGGTTATTATATTGCTACACTATGCTCATGCACGCTGCCTCCCCACACACATGGACTATCTGAAACACAAAGGGTTATCATATTGCTACAGAATGCTCATGCACGCTGCCTCCCCACACACATGGACTATCTGAAATACAAAGGGTTATCATATTGCTACAGAATGCTCATGCACGCTGCCTCCCCACACACATGGACTATCTGAAACACAAAGGGTTATCATATTGCTACACTATGCTCATGCACGCTGCCTCCCCACACACATGGACTATCTGAAACACAAAGGGTTATCATATTGCTA